GGTGTTTCCTCCTCCGTCAGGTCGTAGCCTGAATGTGTCAACATCAGAACACAAGCGAACCACGTGTTTGTGATTTCTGTCTGTCCTTGTGTGTTTCCCTCAGCGTGGCCTGGTTAGCCTTCACCGTCTGCATGGCGGCCGGCGTCTCCACCCTGAACAACTACACCAAGAAGGTCCTGATGGTGGGCCCCAGGCGGAACTCCGGACTCAACCCCTGCAGCTTTAACTTCGTGGGCCTGCTGCCGCCGGCTCCCTACTACACCCCTCCCAACCCGGGCGTCACCCTGGCCTGCCCCCTGTCCCCCCCGCGGATCTCCCACCTGTCCCCGTACTACGAGCCTCCTTCGGCGGAGCCACCGGCCCCCACTCCCAAGCTCACCCACTCCCACTCCCTTCCTCTGCCCCACTCCGACTCGTTCCCTCCTCCGCCCTCCCACCACGCTCCTGCGTCCCCGTTCCACCGCCTGTCCCTGCCGTCTCCGTGTCCCTCGCCGTCGGCCTCCGTCTATATGACCCTGCCGCAACACCCGGAGCATCCGTACGAGCCAGAAGAGGATTACAGCCCGCTTTGAACTGCTCATTAAGGCTGGAGTCTTTTAGCTGATATACATCCATCTTAGCGAAGCGGTTTAACCCTCTTGACCCCTTAAAGACCCCGAACCAGCGGGTTTACGAGACGTGTTCTCTTTAGAAAAATGGCCAAAATTACATCATTTGTAAGAAACTGTGAAAGCAGACGAGCTCTTTTGCTTTGTGGCGGCCGACCGACATCAAGAAAACCGATCAACAATAATTGAGCATAAAGGAAACGACGAGAGAGAGACTGAGAGGACGATGAAACATCCTGGATCAACAATAATACTATTAATAAAAACAGTATACAGACGTGCAAGTTGTCAGCAAGTTATTGGACGATGCTTTCAGCATTTTGTCAATTTTTGCAAAACAAAAGAATTTCAATTTCAAAGAGTTCTCTCTGGGGCTGCAATGTGGATCAGTGGTTTGCACCGTTGCCTCTCAGCTAGAAGGTCGCCGGTTCGCATCCCACTTTGGACTCCTGGGATCTTTCTGTGTGGAGTCTACATGTTCTCCCCGTATAGCGTGGGTCCTCTCCGGGTTCTCGGGCTTCCTCCCACAGTCCAAAAACATCCATCCATCATCTCTACACCTTAATCCTCACCAGGGTCATGGGGGGCTGGAGTCTATCCCAGCTGACTCNGGCTTTTCTCTGAGGAGTTAGTCGAGACCAAACTAGAGCTTCAAAGCCGTGAATATTGAACTAATAATAATCAAAAGAACAGAAACACGACACTAAAAGAATGCACCTGAATTCAACAGTCACTTATGGTATCTTGTTGTTCATGCTGATGCTATATTGATCATTTTTACAACGTTCTATGTTTCTGTACGACTTAATTTACATGCAGTACACATAATTCCACAGGATAATCGTGTCTCTGGAGCTCAGTCAGTTAAATTAAGAAAACACTCAAATTAAAATAAATAAGGCCAGCTGTTAGATACAGTGCAGAAGGTCAAACACGAGCACACTGGTTGTTTTTTTCTTTTCTAAATAGTGCACATGTGGTCAAGTTGCTGTAAAGGTTTCATTTTCTTCTGTTTTGTCCATTTGCATCTGTTTTCTTAAGTCGCTTTAAACTGGCAGTGCCTTAATTCCTTCATTTAGAGCCGCTCAGATTATTGCAGCTGCCGCGTAAACAAGCCGCAAAGAAGCTTAACGACGGCCGGAAAACACGTTTCACAGGTGTTTTTATTTAATACACATATTCTGTTTGGTGAAAACTAAAAGTTTTTACATTTAAATTATGAAATAAAGTAAAGAAAAAGCTCCAAAATGAGAAACTAAACAAACTGACGTTGTGTCTGTAGGCCCCCATCTGTCCAGATGTTATAATCTCATAATCTGTGATCAGGTTACTTCAGGTCATGAAAACACAAACTGTTAAAACCTCAGTCTGGTTAATTGTACAGTAATTAGATTGTGGCGTTTATTCTCATTTAGAGTACAGATGTGCAGCCTGGTGGGGTTTTGACCTCCTCTGCTCCTGATATGACTTCACTGAGCGACATGAAGGTTCATGTTCAGGTGTTTCACAGAACAAACAGTCAGAGGGTTCGTTTATCGTTCATGAATCTCCTACATTCACGTTTGTCTTTTGGTTTCTAGAGGAGAAGTGTCGAGGCTTCTACACGCTGACTCCAGGGTGTGAGAAAGGTAAAAGTGTTTTCTTGTGTTTTTCCTGCTCTTGGCTCCCTGATGGTTTGTGTTTGTTCTCAGCCTCCTCTTCCTTCCTCCCTCCGCAGTGATGATGTGGCTCTCGCTGTCGCTGGAGCTCATCTACATCGGCCTGCTGCTCATCAGCTGCACGCTGCTGTCCGTGCAGCTGTGCATCAGGGCCTGGTTCCCCTCCACGCAGCGCTGGGGGCAGCTGCTCAACGCTTTTGCGGCCGTCTTCACCGTCCTGGGAGGTACTGCTGTCTTTGTAGGTGGATGTTTGAAACGCTGGCTTTGGTGGAAACATGTGATGACCAGTATTTTCTCCTCTCGGTCTTCTCAGGTCTGCTCGGGATGGTGGGTCACATGATGTTCATGCAGGTGTTTCAGACCACCGCCTCAATGGGACCAGAAGACTTCAAACCTCACAGCTATGGATACTCCTGGGCGTTCTAGTAAGTTCCTGGTACAATATGGAATATAAACTAACATACATGTGTGCCTAAATAAGGATTGACACAGAGGGGGGTTAGCATTGTTGCCTCGCAGCTAGAAGGTCGCCGGTT